CCACCCCCACCCCCGCCGAGATGAGGTCTCACTTTTGCTCTCACCATTTCTGTCTGTCTGTCTCTCTCTCTGGTGAGCACACCATATGGCAAAAACCTTAAAAAAAAATACATACTTATTTCATGGATGGGCTACTCTGAGGATGTTAATTTCAGAACAGTTATGTTTTTACCCCTTAGTTTTTTAGGATTTTTGCTTTAGGGCAAAGTAGAGAGACAGTGAGAGAGAAGGTAAGAAATCATCCCCCCAGAGGGGATGTCCAAGTCTCCCTTCTCTTCCATTCTCCTGGGATTTGGGGCACGCATGCATATACACCGGTGTGATGTTCAAGCCCCCAAGACTGGAACCACGGTCCAACATGTGGGAGTCCAGCACCTTAACCACCTAATGGTCTCCCTTTTTTCCTTTTTATTTCTTAAGTGACAGACAGATCTTCAGGAGGGTCTTCATGCCGCAGTTCAGCCTCAGCCATCTTGAGAACATGGGCACTTATGTGCCCTAAGTACTCAGGGAGGTTTCCAGTTGCAAACCTGGATGCTCCCCTTGTGGGACAGCTTCGCAGTGTTGTGTTTTGTTGCTGCTCCACCATCTGGCTGGCTGCCAGCTTTCTTTTGCCCTGTTTCTTCCAAATGCATTTTTCCTTTTTGTTTGGGACTTTGTCATTTATGTTAGAGGTTTTTTTCTTCTAGTTTGTGGTGACCTTAACTGTTCATACTTAAGATTGAATCACTGATTGGAAACTGAGTGGACGGGTGGGCTTTGAGAATTAGTAATTATTAGGTCATCGGGAAAGTCGTGATGTATTTTTCTGTACAAAAATGCATCATGACTTTCCCAACAATCCAAAAGATGGGAACCCAAGTGTTCTATTGGAGAGACTCCTCAAACATTAGCGTCCCTAGAGAGGAATCTCTGGTCTCTCTTGGGAAATGTGAACCTTACTGTAGTCTTCTAACTGCTAAGTAGACAGATTGCAGTTGGGAAGTGGAGCGGATGTCTTGTCTTGTATATGCAGATTTTAACTTAAAGCTTCAGTTTTCAGTGTAGTAATTGACCCCCGCCTGAGGTACTCATCTGGTATTCTGACTCCTGAGTTTCTGTGGTTCAACCTCTAAGCCCTACAGAAGAAGGAGGCTTTTTCCTCCAGAAGCCCTTCCACATTCCCTACCCCTGTCAGAGGAGGTGCACCTGCCTTTGTCTCCAATGGCACTTTGTGTTTCCCCTATCATAGCACCTACAATACATTGTTGTTGTTGCGTGTTTATTTGTCCCTTCTGAGGGCAGGGATTGGATATATCTGTTGATCATTTTCTCTAGTATTAGGCACAGGAGATCTTCAGTCTGCGCGTTTATATCCTGGGGCTTAGCCATTAGATTCAGTCTAACTCAGATAGCAGAAGACAAGAGGTTCGTTATCTGGAGAAGGTGAAATGGGGTTTTAACTGGTGGCTCCTTTAGCTTCTACAGAGCCCTTGGGCAGAGTGCATCAAGGACTGTCCTTTGGGGGTCATTGACCTTTTCTCTAACTACATAATGAGGGTCTGTCATGAGTTCTAGTCAAGGATAGAAACTTCGAATCATCCGTCGCATAGGTCCTAGAAAGTGTAGCAGTTTCTTGGACAAGGAAGTTCTTCCTTCTAATGAATCCAGAAGATGAAAATGTACAGTTTTTTTTTTTTTGTACAGATGTTTAATGGTTCTAAACTCAGCATTGGAAAATGGTTCATTCATGGACTTTTCTCTTTTTTCTCCTTTTAACTTTTAGTATGAAAAATTTAGAATATACATAATAAATTTTTGAGACAAATCCCACACATCCTGTCATTTCATCTATAAATATTTTCATCTCTTTAAAAAATAAAGTCCTGGGGACCAGATGGTGGTGCAGGGGTAAAACATGATGCAAGGCTGACTCACATGGGAAAGTTGCTATTCCAAGTCTGGAGACCTCCAAGCTTGCCGGGCACACGTATCCATGGTCCAGTGCTGGCTGAGGCTGGAGTGGATCAAAGCGTTGGGGCCCTGTAGGAGTTGCTGGATCTCTCTCTTTATCTGTCTCTCTCAGCCATGACATAAATAAACTTAAAAAAAAAAAAAAGTTCATGAATGGCCTGCCAATGGCATTGTAGTTAAAGTAGCTTGGATCCCACATGGCCAACTACACAGTTTGAGTCCCAGATCTGCAGCTTAAAAAACACGCCAGGAACATGTGGATGCATGCCCAAAATCCCAAATGGAGATTGGAGGAGAAGGAATTGCTTTCCCCTGAGGGATGATTTCTCATTTTCCTTCTCTCTGTCTGTCTCTGGCAAGTACACACCCTATAGCACAAACTAAAAACAAAAACAACAAAAAGTTCATGAAGAAAACGGAATTAAAGTATGAGTTCATTTTGAAGTAAAATCATAATACTATTATCACACTAAGGAAAAAACTGCAGTAATTCTTCATGTTATCATGTTATCAAAAATATATGTGATGTTCTAGTTTTGTAGAAGCCATACAGTTCCAAATGGACTCTTAAAAAATAGTTTGGAAGTTGGGACCAGCAGTTAGCGTAATGGCTATGTCACTGGACTCCCACATAGTTGACCGTGGTTCGCGTCCCGGACCCAGTGGCTTAAAACTCACGCCAGGCGCGTATGCGTGTGTGCCCAAGATCCCGAGAGGAGAATGGAGAAGGGATTGCGGCGTGACCATCCCCCCTGGGGGGTGATTTCTCGCTTTCTGTCTCTATGTCTCTCTCTGTCTGTCTGGCGAGCGCATGCGCCCTACAGTGAAAATCTCTCAAAAAAAAAAACGTAGTTTGGAAGTTGGTCCTGCGGCCTTGTAAAGACACTGAATCCTACCTGGCCAACTGTATGGTTCAAACTCTGGACCTAGTGACCTTAAAAACATTCCAGGTCGGGACCAGCAGTTAGCGTAATGGCTATGTCACTGGACTCCCACATAGTTGACCGTGGTTCGCGTCCCGGACCCAGTGGCTTAAAACTCACGCCAGGCGCGTATGCGTGTGTGCCCAAGATCCCGAGAGGAGAATGGAGAAGGGATTGCGGCGTGACCATCCCCCCTGGGGGGTGATTTCTCGCTTTCTGTCTCTATGTCTCTCTCTGGCTGGCTGGCAAGTGCACACACCCTATAGTGAAAACCTCTCCAAAAAAAAAAAAAAATTCCAGGCACACGTGCATGGGTGCCCCAGATCCCAAAAGGGTGAGAAATGGAGAAGAGGGATTGTAGCATGATCATACTCTACCAGAGGTGGATAGGTGCTTTCTTCCTCTCCCTCTTTCTGTCTCTATATGGAGAGCACATGTGCCCTCTGGCTTATAAACAAAAAAAGAAAAAGTGGTTTGGGACCAAGCTTGTTCATTTCTTTTTCTTCTTCTTCTTCTTTTTTTTTTTTAAGAGATTTTTGCTGTAGGGCACATTGCCTGTGCTTTCTGGAGAGACAGAAAGCAATAAATCACCTCCCAGGGGGGATGGCCATGTCGTAATCCCTTCTCCATTCTCTCAGGGTTTTGGGCATGCATGCACACACACTCAACATGATTTTAAGCTGCTAGGTCCAGGACTTGAACCCTGGTTGACTACATAGGAGTCCAGCAACATAACCATTATGCCATCTGCTGGTCCCCATTTTTTGTTTTTCTGTAACTATTTTTTCAAAGTATACTTAATTGAGCTTTCTTAAGGTATAATATACATAACATAAAATTCCCTGTAAATATTTTAGTAAATTTATGAGCTGTGCAACTATGATCACAATCTAACTTTAAAACATTTCTGTCACTCCTCCCCCCAAAAAATTTCTCTTCCATTTTGCATTTATCCCTCAATCCCATGCCTAGACCCAGGTAACCATGATTTACTCTCTTAATAGATTCATCTTTCTGTGTCTGTGAAACTTTTTTTTTTAATTAGACTTTTATCCAACCCTCCTGTTTTGGCCTCACCTTCACTCCACTTCCTCTGGCACCTGGGCAGCCAGTTCCTGAGCCTTTGCACGGTGAGGGAGTGGGGAGTTATATGTGTCAGGTTATTTGTCTACTGCCAATTTAGGATTTAGCTTTTCAGGTGTGTTAATTCAGTTAGCATCTACTCTCCTCTTCAGCTTCCAAAATGCTATTGATGTCTGGTCATTCTTTTTTCTTTTTGATTGCCAGGAGGTGCATGCACTTACCTGAGAGAGACAGAAGGAAGGGGGAAAGCCCAATGAGGTGCGGTCATGCCACAATCCTGTCTCTGTTTCTCCGTTCTGTTGGGTTCTTGGGCAAACACACATGCCTGGCATGTTTTTCAAGCTTCTGGGTCTGGATTCATACCATAGAGCCAGCCATGTGGGATCTGACTCCCTTAGGCACCAGGCCACAGGGCCAGTCCCCTATTCTTTTCTTTTTTTGGTGGGTTTATACATTTAAAACAAAACAATAAACCTCTAAAACTGTAGTGCCTTTCCAAGAGGATTTCAGTAATGGAATGCAGACATTAAGAGTTCATATGGGCAGATGGATGTATGCCCTCTACTACCGGTTATAACTGGAGCCCCCTCCCCACCCCCCCATGTGTATTGATGTGTCCTTCTCACTTGAGGTTGCTAAGACTGAAATTTCTTGGTCTTGTTTTGTTTTTTGTTCTTTTTTTTTTTTTTTTCATTGTTTTCAGGGAACACAGAATTCTAACAAACATCTGTGTGCCATCACCCTCACAAGGGTTTTCTTTAACATAAACCTTCGGTATACAAGTGGTTCCCATGAAGAATGAAGGGTAGCTTGTAAATAGCCAGTAGCAAAGCCCATATATGTGCACGCTTCCTGGGCTGATAACTAAATTGGCATTTGCTCCTTACTTGACAAACTCTTAATGTATGTGCCCATCCTCAGAAATATCATAAGCTTTAAAAGGTCTAAGCTTGGCCCTCCATGCCTCTCTGCTGCACCCTTTGTCTTCTTTGACTCAACACTTTCTAAGTCTTAACATTTTCTTTTTTGCTTTTCCTGTAGGATCATGGATTTTCCTGGTCACTTTGAACAGATCTTCCAGCAACTAAACTACCAGAGACTACATGGCCAGCTCTGTGATTGTGTCATCGTAGTGGGGAACAGACATTTTAAAGCCCACCGCTCCGTGCTGGCGGCATGCAGCACACACTTCCGAGCCCTGTTCTCAGTGGCAGAGGGAGATCAAACCATGAACATGATCCAGCTGGATAGCGAGGTAGTGACAGCAGAGGCCTTTGCTGCACTGATCGACATGATGTACACCTCCACCCTCATGCTGGGGGAGAGCAATGTTATGGATGTCTTATTGGCAGCCTCTCACCTGCATTTGAACTCTGTTGTTAAGGCATGTAAACATTACTTGACCACAAGGACGCTGCCCATGTCTCCTCCCAGTGAGCGTGTTCAGGAGCAGAGTGCCCGCATGCAGCGCTCCTTTATGCTACAGCAACTGGGACTAAGCATTGTGAGCTCAGCCCTCAATTCCAGCCAGAGTGGCGAGGAGCAGCCAGCTCCCATGAGCTCGTCCATGCGGGGTAACCTGGACCAGCGGACACCCTTCCCCATGAGGCGCCTCCACAAGCGCAAGCAGTCTGCGGAGGAGCGGGCCAGACAGCGCCTCCGAGCCCCCATGGATGAGTCTACCATTTCTGATGTTGCCCCAGAGAATGGGCCTTCAGGGGTCCATTCTAGGGAGGAGTTCTTTTCACCAGATTCTCTGAAAATTGTGGATAATCCTAAAGCTGATGGAATGAACGACAACCAGGAAGATGGTACCATCATGTTTGACCAGACTTATGGTGCTCAGGAAGATGCCCAGGTGCCCAGCCAGTCTGACAACAGTGCTGGCAACATGGCACAATTGTCCATGGCCTCCCGTGCAACTCAAGTTGAGGATCATTTTGAGCAGGAAGCTGCAACTGAGAAAAATGGTTTTCAGTGTGAAAATCCTGAGGTTGGCCTTGGTGAGAAGGAGCACATGAGAGTGGTGGTAAAATCTGAGCCTCTGAGCTCGCCTGAGCCTCAGGATGAGGTGAGCGATGTGACTTCACAGGCAGAAGGCAGCGAATCTGTGGAAGTGGAAGGAGTCGTGGTCAGTGCTGAGAAGATAGACCTCAGCCCTGAAAGCAGTGACCGGAGCTTTTCAGATCCCCAGTCTAGCACGGACAGGGTGGGTGACATCCACATTCTGGAAGTCACAAATAACCTAGAACATAAGTCCACTTTTAGTATTTCAAATTTTCTTAACAAGAGCAGAGGAAGTAACTTTAATGCAAATCAGAACAATGATGACAATATCCCAAACACCACTAGTGACTGCAGGCTGGAGGGTGAGGCCCCTTATTTGTTGAGTCCAGAGATTGGGCCTGCAGGTGGGCCCTCCTCTGCCCCTGGCTCCCATGTGGAGAACCCATTTAGTGAGCCTGCAGACTCCCACTTTGTTAGGCCCATGCAGGAGGTGATGGGCCTGCCATGTGTGCAGACTTCAGGCTACCAAGGAGAACAGTTCGGGATGGATTTTTCCAGGTCTGGGTTGGGCCTTCACTCTTCCTTCTCCAGGGTTATGATGGGTTCCCCCAGAGGAGGAACCAGTAACTTTCCATACTACCGCCGCATAGCTCCCAAAATGCCAGTTGTAACTTCTGTCAGGAGCTCACAGATCCCAGAAAACTCTGCTAGTTCTCAGCTAATGATGAATGGGGCCACATCCTCATTCGAAAATGGCCATCCTTCACAGCCTGGTCCCCCACAGTTGACCAGGGCATCTGCTGATGTCCTGTCAAAGTGCAAGAAGGCCTTATCAGAGCACAATGTCTTGGTTGTAGAGGGAGCTCGCAAATATGCCTGCAAAATCTGCTGCAAAACTTTTCTGACCTTGACAGATTGCAAAAAGCACATCCGTGTTCACACAGGTGAAAAGCCCTACGCCTGCCTGAAGTGTGGCAAGAGGTTCAGTCAGTCGAGCCATCTGTATAAACACTCAAAGACGACCTGCCTGCGCTGGCAGAGCAGCAACCTCCCCAGCACTTTGCTCTAACTGTGTGTCCCCGTGACACAACACTGAGGCCAGTTGCGGGACCGAAACTAACATCTCTCCTGGTAGGCGGTTAATGCCAGAAAGCTTGAGACTCTGGCTGCCCAGTGGCTCTAGCCAATTTCCTCAGCAAACAGGTGAACTGTAGCACTTGTGCCGCTGCACTTCGAGTGGAAGGCACACTTGGGAGAGGGATGCGATCCCTGACACGGAGTTCTTTTATAGGGTTGAGCGATAGTCATAAAAATAGTTTGTAATTGATGTTGTTTTAAGTGGCACATTTAAAAATTGAAGTGCAAAAAACAAATTTTTTTAGCAATTTTTGTAAAACTCTGTGAAGCATTTAATTAAATTTCCTATACCCTCTGATGGGAATATTATGTCCCTGTACAGTGATGCAAAACGCACTTATGTATAACTAGTGGCGACTTGGTGCCAGTCTGAGAGGAAGGCCCTCAAGGACATGCCTGTCTGCTGCAAATGCTTTAAAGTGTATCATGAGCTCGTCCTAGGCCTCAGAAAGTCCTGTATTCTTTATTTTTGTCTGATTTGCAGTCACAGCCACTGCACTTAGATGGTGCTGACACTGGGTCCAGAGCGAACGCTCTCGGATTATTAGGTGTATATACTTTTGAATACATCACTGTTGGATAGATGTTAACGGTTTTTTTCTGGTTTTAAAAACAGTTGTAAATGGAGTATGTACTTGTAGGGAGTGACAAGTAAGATATTGTTTCTGTTTGTGCCGTTTTAGCAGTATTTTAACCAATGTGTATTACAGATGTTACAATTCCATGTTTGGAAGTCAGAAAAGAGCTAGTGTTTGTCTTTGTTATGATGTGGAGTCATGCTTTGTGGGTTCTTTCATGGCACATTTACCTTTGCTTCATCCAGACATCGAGGGCCAGTCCAGTCTGACACGTCCCACCCAAGGACAAGCCTGTTCTCCAGTGCATTTCTTCACACTCCCAAGGCCCCTGTGACATCTCCCCCAGGCTAGATTACTGTTCTCAGATACAAACCAAAACTAATGCCCCCATGGGTTTTATTTCTATTATATGCTGTTTTAAAAGTACTGACCTTAAATTTTTTATTGTTGTTGATATGTCAACCCAATACAATGTTTAACATTTTTTGCTTTAGTGTTTGTGGATAGATACCTTTCAGGCTTTATAAGAGTTAGGCACCTCATAGCATAGAAGTAAGTTACTAAGGAGCTTCCAAGACTGTGAGAGAGGCATTGGGATCACTGCCCTGGGCCTCTCTGGACCCTGCTTCCCCAGTCCCACCTTGCTGTCCCTGGCACTGTGCCATTAGGGCTGTTGGTGGCATATGTGCTAGGCCAAGCACTGGCTCTTAGGTATCCAGGGTAACAGCACAGGTTAATGCATCTCTGTAGAACTCATAAAGTCAGTTTAATTCATACATGAACATGAGTTCATTTTATTTTTTTATACAGCTTTCTTAAGATGTACCAAACCATTGTGCATAACTCGGAGAAATTATTCTCTTATTAAGAAAGCTACATATTTATATGTAGCCTAAAACAAAATCTCTTAATTTAGTATATGCAGTTATAGACCTGTGGATAAGTCCACAGTGTTCTAACAGGCTTGGCATTGCCTATGGACTGGTTTCCAGTTCATCATTAGCAGGTGTGTTCTGACGTGCTGTGAGGGTACACTCCCCCCGACCCCTCCACATGTAGGGACCAATGTGTTGTGAGATTAATCTTGGGAGTCAGGCAGGTTAGCATGAAAACAAGAGGCCCTCCCTGGGCCAGAGAGAGGTGTCAGTGACACAGATAGGGGAGTGGCAGGCCCCCTCTGTGGAGGGGGGGGGGGCAGGGGGCT